TTATCAATAAAATCCGAACACCATGAAATTGTCAACATATATCGCTAAAACTTTTCACTTATAATTTTACATCATTGTACATCAATTGATTAAAGTTTGAATTAAATCCGATAAAAACTATCCTTTTTTTGTTTAATTTTTTTATCATATTGAGTCGTATTTATTTTAGTGTGTTTGTTGGTTTTTATAGCATTATTGCCATTCAGTTTGCTAAAGTTTGTTAATGTGAACACCAAATAATGCCTCGAGTACGAAGAAATCAAGGTTTTCGTCAATTAACCCCATTTGAACGGGGTCGAATTGTCGGTCTCAGGGAAGCTGGTTTTTCAATTAGAGAAATTGCCAGAAGAACAAACCGATCTGCACCGACGGTAGTTGAGTGTTGGCGTGCATGGTCTGCAGAAAATAGAGAAAGCCGTGCACAAGGCTCTGGGCGACCTAGGGGAACTACAGAAGGGCAAGATCGGTACTTACGACTTTTAGCTTTTAGAGATCGTCACATGTCCACAAGTCGTGTGGCAGCCACTTGGCATAATGTGGTAGGTCGACCAATTGCTGTATCATCAGTATACCGTCGAATTAGGTCTTTTGGTCTTCACAGTTACCGCCCGCATTTGGTGCTTCCCCTAACCCCAGAGCATCGGCGTCAAAGACTGGAATGGTGCCGTGACCGAATGAATTGGGATGGTGAATGGAACACAGTTGTCTTTTCTGACGAATCTAGGTTCTGCTTGGGAATGCATGATGGACGTCAAAGAGTTAGAAGGACAAGAGGAGAAAGGAGTAATCTGGCATTTTCTGTAGAACGACATGTGGCTCGAACTGTGGGCGTTATGATTTGGGGAGCTATCAAGTACAGAAGTAGGTCTCCTCTTGTGTTTATTCAGGGCAATATGAATGCACACCGGTATATTCAGGAAGTGCTGAGGCCCGTTGTCATCCCCTATACTCAAGGCATCCCCAACGCCCTGTTCCAGCAAGATAACGCTCGACCCCATATTGCCCGTGTTTCATTGGAGTGTCTCCAACAAGCTAATGTTGAGGTCTTGCCTTGGCCTCCCCGTTCTCCAGACTTATCCCCTATTGAACATGTGTGGGACATGATAGGGAGAAGACTTAATAACCTTCCCCGGCGTCCAGAGACCCTAGAGCAATTGAGGCATGAAATTCGTGTGATATGGGATGCCCTACCTCAGGAAGAAATTAGTAACCTCATCCGCAGTATGCCCAGACGAGTAGCTGAGTGTGCAAATTTACAAGGTAGATTCACACATTATTAAATCAATCTTTTGTTAAACAGCTGCAATGGAGCTAAAATTTTAATGAAATATTATTTAAGTTAAAACTAACATGTATACGAAATTTTAGCAATAAATATTAATTTTTTCTTGGTGTTCGGATTTTATTGATAAGTAGTATATATAAGGTGGTCAAATTTAAAATTGTATTTTTAATTTAAATTAATATTTTTATAATTGTGTAGCCGATCTCATTGAAAATTGCATTAAAGTCATATTATTTATTTACTTTTAGGAAACTTGCGCAACTTTGACCACAAAGAAAAATATGCAGTCTGCATCAGCATCAACAGACTCAGTGGCGAGCTCTTCATCGAAACCAGTATTTATCGAAATTAATGACGATCTTCCTAGTGGACTCAGAGCAGATATACCAAAAGTAGAATAGTCTTATAAACTAGTGTATGTATACTTTGTATGTTGAGAAATGAAAGTATTCATAATATTTTTATTTGTTACCCTTCCAATTTTGAGAAATTTACTACACATTTGTAAAGCATAATCATACATTTTTGTAGTAAATTCGCTTTCATGTTGGAATATCCATTTAATTTTTCAAATATAACCATCTGCAATATGTAAAAATATCCCAATTGTATTTTGTATATCGTCCTACAAATTGGAGTAGCCGCTTATATATTTTGGAATATAAAGACCTACAAATTGCAAGAAAATTTACAAAATTTTGTAATAAATTTACCTACAAAATATTCTTAATTATTTTTTATTTTGTATTCTTACTTATTGGTAACCAAAGTGTATTATTTACTTACAGTTTTTTCTACACATTGTTTAACTTATTATTTTAATTTAAGATATAATTTTACAATTCGGGTTCACTTCAGCTGACAAAGAAAAAAGCCACTTCCCATTTTCTAAGAGGTTTACTTCTTACAAATTATAAAAGGACACCATTTGAATGTGGAACTTTTGGTAAGAATTTGTTACATAATAATGAGCGAAATGTAAATATTTGCTTTACAATACATTTATTCCGACAATAACAATTTTGTAAATACGGGCTTAATTTTTTGTTGCTATCCCTATATCTACCTTTTTTTGTAAGGTTTAGTTATATATTTTTAGTAATTACTCTTACAATTTTTTTTCCGTGCATGATATTGTTCTACGTTTAGTCGCACCAGTTAAAGGCACAAATCGAAATATAACCGCCTTTGGTATCGTACTGCCCTAAGAAAAATAAGACGGTACTGGTCCTATCAACTATGCATTTCGATGATGCAATTGACGAATCAAACTGGAGAAAAAAATAAACCTGATATGATAACATTTTATAATAGGACCAAAATAGGAGTAGATCTAGTAGATCAATTATGCCAAAATTACGATGTATCACGTAATACAAGACGATGGCCCATAGTACTCTTCTATGATCTACTAAATATAACCGCTATAAATTCGTATGTAATTTATAGACATCATTGGATAGATCAAAATGTAAAAAGATCCACATTTTTGGAGACAATTAGCTGGGAATTAATTAAACCACAAATAGAACGTCGATCCGAAATTGCTTGTTTACCAGTAGAAGTTCGCCGACGAGCCAAGTTATTAGTAGGAACTCCTGTTGATAACCCAGATCCGCGAGAAGAAAGAACCGGATCCCGTGGAAGATGTTATATTTGTGGTAGAGCACGTAATAAAACAACCCGAAAATGCTGTGTAAAATGTTTTAACTTTGTATGTAACGATCACATGAAAGAAGTTTGCAAGAATTGCTTTGAAAATGAATAATATATTTTTTGATTTACTTTTTATGTTTATTTTTCGTTATAATAAATTTTACTTTTAAAAACGTATTTTTATTTATACCTATAATAACCATATACATAAAAAATAGGTTAATGTACTTTTTTGCTAAAAATATAATATATAAATTTTCTATACGTGGTGGATGACACTTGTCCTCCACGCGCCTAACGATGGGTTAAAAAGACAACAATGTCAATATTACATACATATGGTTAAAAATAAAATAAAATATAAAAATAAACGCTCAGTATAAATAATAAACAAGTTAAAAAGTAATAAGTGCTCGGTAAAAAATATCAAATTCACAGTACTCAAGTAAAAATAATAAATGTTTAGTAAAAATGCCAGGCAGTTTCGTGTTTGAACCAGTACAGCTGTATTCTGGAGTCAACGTATTTTGGGTATTTATTTTTTTAATAGTACTGTTTATACTTTTTTTTAATATAAACTTTTTAGTCATATTATGAGTAAAAAGTTTAGATTAAAAACAGGTTAATAATAATTACCTATAATAATAATAATAAACCATAAAAAGCACTATTAAAAAAATCTATACTCAAAATATGTTGACTATAAGTTTGGCACTATAATATATTATAAGTTTTGCACTAATTTATAAACAAATTAACCGCCGTCTGCAACTGTCGTACCTTTTTTTGTTTATTCGTTTATTATTTTATTTAACAAAATAAAAATTTAAAAAAAAATCGATCGTAACGATCGTAAATTAAATTAAAAACCAAATTTGATTTTCATTGTTTTTTTTGTATCATATTTTTCGACTACCACTTTCCTTGAGATCTGAAGTTGAGATATATCCAGGCTATTCTTCAAAGTTCGAACATATGTAAATTAGGTTTATTTTTTTAGATTATAGAATAAAAATGTCTTAGAATTCAAATGAAATCCTGCCTGTTGTTGATGTCGACTCAAATGAAATTTTCGATGATGATAATGATGACCAAGATCCAGGCTACAATCCAAATCAAATAAACGAAGGCAGAAAGTCAATACCAGATTATTTTGGATTACGAAAAAAGAACATGAGTTCATCTTCCATTTCCAAGATAAAGAATGGAGAAGACCACATCTCAAATGAATCTTTAAAGCACCAAGATCAAGATGAAATAATAAAAGGTAGAATAATGAAGAATCCGACTTTAGATGGAAATTTGTTTGATGTTGTAGAAAAGGTTTGCGAAGTTTATACTGTCTTATTTTATTATTTTCTAATACCAATGCTATAATTTTTATAACCATTTTCAGGTGACTGATGTTAAGGGGCCGTCCATAAATAATGTCACACGTTTTTTTAATATTTTTGACATCATTTATGGACGGCCCCTAATCACATTAAAGCTCAATGTAAGCTCTGCCTGCCAAAGCAATGCTTAATTAGAGGTTCTGTAGAAATTTCATTAAAGATTTAAAGAAAATATATCCAGATAAATTAGATTCATATAATGAATATAAAAAAGAAAAGCGAAATATTTTAACTGGAAGGAAAAGGAAAATGAGTTATAAAGAGGAAGCATCAAATATTAAACAAAAAGTCTCATGCATTAAAGCAGAGTCGCTTGTCTTTTAATGAGTCAAAAATTAACATTCCTCAAACAGAATTTGACAAAATAATTATCAGATTTTTAGTAGAAACCATATCACTTGTATCTCACCGAAGCTTTGTTGACATTTTTGATGGGATGGATCTGAAGGTAATAGGTAGATCAGGTGCTGTAAAGAAAATTGAAGAAATGTTTCCATATATGATCAAAGCGATAAAAACGGATTTGGTCAAATGTGCATATGTATGTACTACGGCAGACGTATGGTCGTCAAAAAAAGAAGTTTTATGGGTGTCACTTTTCAATGGTTAGATGAGCAGTTAAAAGACATTCAGTTGCTTTGTCTTGCCGAAGATTGTTGAGCGAAATGAATGATTCTTATGGATTAGATAATAAAAAGAATATTGCCACTATTACTGACAATGGTTCCAACTTCGTAAAATGTTTTAAAAAATTCGGATTAACTATAAAAGAATGCAAAGCAGCAGAGCAAGATACTTCTGTTTGTTCTGAGGAAAACGAAAAAGAACTTGAAATTGTGGATTTTTTTAATACAGTCGAATCCGATTCTGAATCTTATTTTACAGATTTAAGGTTTTTACCAAGCCATCTACGCTGCGCTTTTCATACTTAATAGCCACTACAGACGTGGTGGCTCTTTGCTGTGTGGAGCATAGTAGGTACATAATTATTTGTTCTACTCACGTGCGCAAAGTAATATCCGCACGCATTTAATTTCCGCACTTTCGTGCGTGCGGAAAGTAAGCGACCGGAAAAGTGCAACTTTCGGCACGCTTGTAGAAAATTAGGTGAAAAGCAAAATAAACATAAAAAAATTATTATTTTAAATAAGTGTTATTTGCTTATTACTTTGCTTTCTACGTGAGTTTTAATTTTAAGAAATCTGTCATCTGTCACCAACCTGTCATTTGTCTCTTATCATCTGTCACCTGTCAAAGTGTTGCTTGATATTGTATTGAGTATACCTATGATTTGCAAAAAAAAAATATTTTGACAAAATCTGGCAACACTGCAAATGTGGCAATTTCGTATTATATTTGATTTTTTCCCTCCGTATATGACGTCACTTCCGTCTCGTGTCGAGGTTTCTATTTTTACTCCCGATTACGGCACGTTCTCTTCCACTTAATCGTTGAAATTGAATCCTCGACTTAAGTATAGAGCATATAATATTAATTTTTACATGGCCCAAACACCTCCACGGAAATAGAATGAATAATATTTATCAGCACGAGATTTGAATGCTTGGCTCAGGTCTAGAAATGAAAACATACATTAAACTTTGACTGCAAATACTTCAGAGAGGTATTGAGAAACTTAACCCGTAGAGAAGTATTCGGCTTCTTGAATTTTGTATATCGGATTTCTATTCATCACAAAATATTCATTGACTATGAAGGTAAAAACGTCAACAAAGTATAAGAGCCAAAAAGTATTCGGACACATGAGCTGCAAATATAAAAGGTCAAATCTTGAATAGAACCAGATTCAGGTCCATAGAACTTGAATACAGCCAATATTTTTTCATTTGCAGTGTTCCTCTTGGTTTACTCCGCTCAAACATGAGGTTTTTTGGCCACATTATAAAACTTCTTCTGCTTTTAACAAAGCTTTAACATCAGCGGAAGAACCTGATCAGAGTACGTGGAAACTTTCGCATGTCAAAAGAAAGTTTTTTGAATGTGGTGTGTAAATTTATTAATATGCTAGACCTAATTAGGTTTGGAAATTTGTAAGGGTAATTGGTATGAATCATTAAATTAAATTTCTGAACCAAATTAGGTTTAGCTAATACTTAGCTTATAAACTGTATTGTATAGGTAGTTCATTAATTTATATTTTTATCCTGCAAGATCAGTTTTCTTTGTATACTAATGTGTATTATTTTAATAGAAGACATTAAGAAGGCTCATAAAAAATTGAAAAAATGTGAGGCAACTTCAGATATACAGTCATCTGACTTGTCTGATTTTGACAATATTAAAAATAAGAAGAGAGTTCGATTAAATGCAAGAAGGTGGTCCTCATCTAGTAATGACAGTAAAAAGGAATTAAGAGATCATTTATTGGGTAATAAAGAAAAATCCACAAAACTTCCAAGGCCATCAGGATTACCACAGACTGTGGTAACTGTGGTCCACAGTTAACTTTCATAGAGGTTAAGCTTAACCTAATATTTTTTAGAATATTTATTTTGTTTAAGTCCAATCATTGTTAGTATATTGTGTTTGTCCAATACATAAACTTTTACAATAATATTCAGTAGTTTTAATTGAAAGTGGATTTCTAGTAATAATAAATATTATATGTCGTCACCGGTCTGTGCAATTAGATCTTTTTCACATCATATTTTAGGTCATTTTATAAAGTTAAAGTGACGTCATCGGTCTGTAAAATTAGTTCTTTTTTACGTCATATTTCAGGTCATTTTATGACGTAAAATTGACGTCAGATATATCACGTCATCGGTTTGTGACATTGGGAGGACATTTTCACGTCATATTGTCGTCATATAGTCACGTTATATCTGGAGATAAGGCACCAGATTATGACGTCATTTTGACGAGGTTCTGCGTACTGGGTAACATATAGATGGCGGTCGCCGTAGACTTTATAGTTTTCGCTTAAAAATGTCACCAGTTGTTGCCTAATGTCATCGGCGATTGTTTTATAAATTTGCATTGTAAAATATTTAATTTTTGTCCATGTTTCGAACATTCTGAGAAACAGTATTTTATATAAACGGTAATAACATACATGTTTACTATTACTAACGGTAAGAACATACATGTTTACTATTAGCTACAAAATCAGGTCTGGATTCTACACTGTTTGTATGTTACTTACAACATAGCAAAACTCTGCGCGACAGAAATAAGGCCCGCACTTGTTGCTGGGCTGGCCTTATTTTTTGCTACGTGGGCCTTATTTTTTGCTACGTGGGTCTTATTTTTTGCTATGTGGGCCTTATTATTTTTGACTGTGAATCACTAAGTGTTTTTATTTCAATTTAGGCTACTATGGGGAAAGTTTGCCGAAATATTCGAGCCCAATGGAGTGAAGAAGCTTTAAGTAACGCTGTGAAAGCTGTAACGCGTGGGTTATCACAACGGAAAGCTGCATAAGATAGGGAATACCCAGACGCACACTCAGAAACCACATCGGAAGCGGAAGAGTTGAGAAAAAATTGGGTAGAAAGTCTATTCTCAGTCGACAACAAGAAAATGATCTGGTAGCCCGCATTGTAAGGCTAGCCGAATGATGCGGCATCAATAGTAGGGGAGCCCAAGACTGCCGTGCTCAATGAAAACGCCGTAACCAACAATTTTGCGATTTTTGGTTTACGGCATTTTCTACTAGAAAAATTCATCCTGCGTCTATCCCCGCGGTACTCAAAAAACCGTATAGATATAGATACGGTTTTTTGAGTACCGGGGATAGACGCAGGATGAATTGTTCTAGTAGAAAATGCCGTAAACCAAAAATCGCAAAATTGTTGGTTACGGCGTTTTCATTAAGCACGGCAGAAGAGGGGATTTTGGGATTTACTAAAGCGCGGCAGATTAACGTACAGGGAAGTACCTAGTACCCCATTAAATACCTCCACCAAGTATTAGCCCCGTATATGTGGCCGCGCGTCAAGGATAAAGGATCAGATTAGTAAAAAAAAATTGATCATCTGAAATTCTCGAGCGCGTCAGATTAAGGTAGGGTAAGTTAGTTATATGCTAAAAAGTGTATATTCCACTAATCTGACAATTTTCGATTGACGATAAGAAGTAGGTGGGTTACAAACTTGTAAAAAAAACGTCATCTCGACTTTCTCGAGCGTGGCTAATTTTTTTTTTATTTTGAAGGCAATAATTCAACGTTCACGAATAATCTGACGATTTCCGTAAGCCGAAGTAAGGAAAAATAATCGATAAAGTTTAATGCGTGCAGGTACGTGATGCCAGTATTCCCCTTCCCGCGTTTCTATTACTAGCGTCTAGCCGCCAAAGTCATAAATGAACCGTACTCGGCGACCTTCGGCAACTTTCGGTCTTTTTTGAAAATCTGGGAATATTTCTATGGATATTTTAGTTAATTTTCTGTCAAGTATCAAAATACCACAATGTGGATTGTGCAAAATACTATTTTTAAAATAGCCATTTGAAGTTCAAATTTTGAACTGTGATAGTGCTTGTACATTGTACGTATTTGTTCAATATACAATATTTAGTGTTCACGCCTAATCATTGACAAAATACAAGTGATTGGAGTTTTTAGTGGTGTTTCTAATTAGTAATTAAAACGGATAATAATGGAAAATTCCAAGAAGGCTGAGTGCACCGAGTGCAAGATTATATTTTCTAACGTATCTAGTTTACGTAGGCATGCTCGCCGAATTCATCCAGATTTACTTGGTAAAGTGGCTCCTTATAAAGTTTCTACAAACTATTCATTCACCTGTAGTCATTGTGCCAAAAATTTTAACCTTAAAAAACACTTTGATTTTCATATGAAAAAGTACCATTTAGAAAATCCTACTCAGCAGAAGAGACAAGTAAAGAAGTGTGCTATGTGTGATTTTACTGACATTAAAAATGAGAACTTAATTAAGCATTATAGAGTTGAGCATAATGTAAACGTTGAATGTTGTGTCCTGGAAATTATTAAAAGTGACTTTGAACAGTGGAAAGTGCAGGTTGAAAAAGAAACGAGCAGTAAATTCAACAAAGAAGGACATTGGTCATCAAATACTGGTACAACTACAAAATATTTGTGCCATCGATCTGGTAAATACCTATAATTTTTTAATTTTTTCACAAAAAAAATAATTTTTTTTGTAGGCAATTATGTAGGAGAGGGAAAGGGTGATAGACATCTAAAGACCCAAGGAAGTTGTAAGATAAATGCCTATTGTCCAGCTTCTTTCAAAGTTTTAGATGAAAAAGACAAACCTTTTTGAAAATTAATTTTATTAAAACACATGTTGGCCACAAGTGCGATATTGGACATCTTACATTGACGCTTGATGAACGAAAGTCCTTAAGTCAAAAAATTGCAACCAAGATTCCATTTGACAATATTGTTGAACAAATAAGGGACAGTGTTGTAGATAACAATCTGCACAGACTTCATTTATTAACTAAGAAAGACCTGCATAATATTTCCCAAAGTTATAATTTGGGATCAGTGGCTGTTCGACATCCAAATGATGCAATTAGTGTGGATTCATGGGTTAAGGAAATGTCCAATGATTGTGTTCTCTTTTATAAACCACAGGATACTTTATCTGAAATTCATCCCCAACTTAAAGTTTCTGATTTTGTTTTAATTATTATGAATGAAGCCCAGGTTGAGATCCTTAAAAAATATGGAGATGATTGTATTTGTGTTGATGGTACCCATGGCATCAACAACTACGATTTTGAACTTCAAACGATACTAGTGCTGGATGACATACGACAAGGCTTTCCCTGCGCCTTTTTGATTTCAAACAGGTCAGATAGGGAAGTCTTATCAATATTTTTTAATTATGTACACCAGGTTGGTTTTTTTTAATTTTCATATAAAATTAATATATCTATTTATACATTTATTTATAAAAAGTTGGTCAATTGACTCCTGCAGTTTTTATTGTTTTTATTTTTTTAATAATAAAAATAATCTTTTTTCCTTTATAACTTAATATTGTAGATAAGGCATTTTTGCTTAACAGGGCTTCTGGACCTTTTATTCTAATGTCCCTAATTGCAAACAATATTGAAAAGAACAGTATGGTTTCCATACTGGTATGAGACGTTATTATTAAGGAATATTTGTTTTCATTAAGCAACAATCATTGGAACTTAAAGTAAAAAATCTGGATGAGAATTCCTCCCCCGAAGAGAAGAGTAAAGTATTTTGAATTTTTATTGAATGTTTTAAATATGAATTATTTATCATTTGGTTGGGTTTTACTTAGGTGTTGGTCATGGTGGATGTGACATAATTTTGTACATATCATTTGGTTGGGTTTTACTTAGGTGTTAGTCATGGTGGATGTGACATAATTTTGTACATAGGCTTCAAAACCTTTTTACATTTATTTTTATTGAGTAGGTTTTAGAAAATGTAATGTAGTAATATTAACATAAATAATATTTATAATTTTTTTACATGACCCCTCACAATAGATTTTAAGTTTATTTTAATTTAAATGTATTTTTATTTTCTTATAGAAACAGATGATTTAAGTGTGGATTTACCACTGTTTGATAAAGAAGCTACTATCATAAATAAAGTTTCAAAGCCAGGTGGTTCAAAAGATTTCCTTCAGGAAGCAAAGGATAAATTAATATCGAAATTTAATGGTTGGATGGAAAAAATTAATTCATTTCAACAGATTGATGCAGTTAAAGATATAATAGCTCCAATTTCGCCGACACTGGCTGCAATTTCTCAGAACCCACAGCAGTTTTCCAGTAAGAGTACATTTCAACATAATAAACATATTGATGCACAGAAAAGATTGTATTAAACTCACAGAACAAAGTGTTCTAAAAAGCTCAAGTTTAAAAGACCCAATGAAGCTGAATCTGTGTCAATTGCAGCATCCTTAATGTTGGAGGAGAATAGAATAGAATAGAAAAAGGTTTGTAATTTTTAGTGTCATTTTTTTTTATTTTAATGCATTTTGTATACAGTGGTGGTAATGTACGCGTATTCCCCTTTGTAGACAAAGACGCTAACAATAGAGATGCCATATAAGACGTGTAAAGTGTGGAGTGCCCCACCACTCCAGGAGTGGTGGGGCACTCTGCCTTGGGCAGACAACTTGTAGCGGCGTCAGACCAGGGAATGTGTTGAAACTGAGTGGTGGTATTTTTGTGGTAAATTTTCAAATGTTCTCAAATTAAAATGGTCTACACTCTTGAAGAAAAAATTCAATTCGTAACATGGCATATAAGTGGGATGTCAGATCGACAAATTCAACGAATATTTCCCAATATGTTTCCTAATAGGCCCTTACCAGCCAGAGCAACAATTCAAAATGTTGTAAATAATTTTGTTACATATGGCAGTGTCAATAAATGTACCCATAATAGGGAACCGCAAGCAAGGCCTGTGAATGAAGAGCGCGAATTACAGGACACTTTGATTTGTGCAAGCATTGAACAGGAACCGACCCAGTCAACCAAACAAGTTGCCGAACAGTTTGGCCTTTCAAGGTCTATGGTTGGAAAAATTTTGGGAAAGCATGGGTATCACCCATATAAATTAAAGAGAGGCAATGAGCAGTTTCCTGGTGATCAATACCGTCGCATGGAATTTTGCGAAACCGTAATGGAAATGGCGAATCGGGATGAAAATTTTACCCAAAATATCCTTTTCACCGATGAGTCGTCATTTACTTTACATGGTAGGCACAATTCCATGAACAAACGATATTGGTCCAGGACAAATCCTCACCAATTTTATGCCGCCAACACCCAAAGACCTCAAAAAGTAAACGTTTGGTGTGGTATACTGGGAGACCATATTATCGGTCCATTTTTTATAGATGGAACGTTAAATGGTCAAAGGTACCTTGAAATGCTGCAAAATCAAATTGTTCCCGCAGTTCGTGCTCTGCCTGTGCCTTTTGAAGACGTGTGGTTTCAACAGGATGGATGTCCCGCACATAACACTCTGTTGGTCAGAGAATATTTGCAAATCACTTTTCCAGAACGGATTATAAGTGGTCACGGAAATATTCTTTGGCCAGCAAGATCACCGGACTTGGCTCCGTGTGATTTTTTTATGTGGGGGTATGCAAAGTCAAAAATGTATGGATTTCAGCATCTTAGGGCCAATAATCTTGATGAATTAAGAGCAATGATTATTGATACATTAAGAAATATTAACCCTAATATGCTGTCAAATGTCCGTCAAAATTTTTACAACAGGTTGACGTATTGTTCGGCAGCTTTTGGGCAGCTATTTGAACATTTTCTTTAAATTATTTTTTCTTTACGTTTTTTAGAATACTTTTTTATTTGAGAATATTTGTTTTTTTATTACAAGAATATTATTGTTTATTTTCCACATTTCCTAAGAAATATTTGCAAGGAATTTTTGTTTCTGTAAACAAAATCATAATAAAATATTTACGTTGTTTTATAACAACCGACTACACCCTACGTCAGTCGTAATGAAACTGACACTAAATAGTGGCAAATCTCGAACATGTCGAGTGGGCGGGACCCGCCCGGCGGGTAACGCAGATAGTTAAAGAAGGGGAAGCACGTTTGTTAACCAGTCGATGGTTGTTAATCTCACTCTTTCGTACGTTTTATATTGCATGCATCTTTGTCACAATTTGGCCTAAATGTGCATTATTACCACTGTATTACAGACCTTCCATTAACATCCCAATTTCGGCGTGGATTAGGCCTATAGGGGAAACCACCTTAAAAAAAACGCACCTACGGCTCTACCTCTGGGGTGGTGCGGAAAAGAGTTTTAATGTATACCAAAGAAGACATGCTGTAACTTTTCTATTTTATCAATTAAATAAATAAAAAAATACCTTTTGTGTTATTTTTAGTGTTTTCCTTTTTATTTTTAAACATTTTCTTCAATGTAAATGCAAAGATTTACCAAAATTTCTTAAAATGTATTTTTTTAATAAACTATTTCATTTTATTTTTGTGTCCATAAATTATTAGGTATCCTACCTACGTTAAATTTAACTGCAAATATATAATTATCTAAAATAGGTATCCCTAAAAATATAAATATAATAACTTTAATTCTGTTTTTTTTTATTAAAGCTATTAATAAGATCAATGCCTTGGAAAAATTTTTGAATATCTTATTAATAAGTACAGTTTAATAAAAAAAACGAATTAAAGGGGCAAGTGGACGAAGAGGTTAACATGTTTAATAAAAAAGAATAATGTGTGATTACTTTTACTATATTTTTGTCCTTAATTAATTTTAACATTTAAATACACACTGAATTTAGAAATTAATGTCTAGTTTTAATGATAATTTGTTATTTCATAGTTATCTATGGTTAAAGTTAATATAACAGCTGTCGAACCAGAACATGCATTATAGATTACTACTAGTAATATTATTTAAGGGGATAATAATTTATGAACATAAATAAGCTCAAATTAATTGTATTTAGAAAAAATACATTTAAAAAAAAATTGGTAAGTAAATCTTTGAAACTGAAGCCTGTGAGTTAAAAATGTTGTGTCTGTAGTGGAAAACCACTGTATACTCTGAGATACTGCAGTGTCATGAAAATGCCAGCTAATATTCCTTAACTGCATCAATCTGTTTAAATGAATTGATTTTTCCATCCAAACAATAAATTGTGCTATTAATATGTCATTTTCTAAATGAAGAGAATCTTTCGAACTGTCTGGCTTTAATAATAACTTCTTCATCAAACAGTGGTAAATCCACAATTAATTCATCTGACTAGGTATAAGTGCAAAAATAGTTTGTATAAACTTTATAAGTAACCAAAGCCACTTCATTTAGTAAATATGAATAAAATTGACAAGCATGCCTATATAGTTACGTTAGAAAATTCCAACTCTGTTTTTTTAAGCGTTCCATCAAAGGTTTAAGCTTGTATTTTGTCAATGATTAGGCGTAAACACAAAATATTGCTATTCGAATTTTAGAAGTTCTTCAAAATTCAAAATTGATATTTGACAGAAAATTCACTAAAATCATAGAAAAAGACTAAAATATCCCTAGAAATATCCCCAGATATTTAAAAAAGACCGAAAGTTGCCGAAGGTCGCCGATTACGGTTCATTTATGACTTCAGCGGCTAGACGCTAGTGTTTCTATTCCTCTCTCACTCTTTCTCTATCTATGACTCTCTCACTCCGTCCCCACTTTGGGTTCTGTTGCCATGACGCCATGACAGCTGATTGCGCAGATGGTTTTGTTTACAACGTATTTGTAACGCCTGAAATTATTTTGCGATTTTGATGTTTATTATGTGAATTAAAATTTAAAAAAAAGTTACTATGAGTGACATTAATGTAAAGTTCTCTGTCGATACCAGTTATCTGGGAAACCAACAAGGGATTTTTAAAAAACTTACGAGCAGTATTCCCATCGTTGCTATTGCCTCCGCCTTGTTTTGGCTGATCAACAACGAGGCCCATTTCATTATAAAATCGAGTAGCCAGTTTACTTTTTTTCTCTCTAACTTGAGCCTTAGCTTGTTCGCCCCTTGCTTGCCACTGCCTTAACTCCAACTTATATGCTATATGTAATAAATATTCGTAACACCTTAGAGAGGCATGTAGCACAGAAATACTGTACTTAAAAGTTTCTTCAGCACAAACTCTTTTTGTTACCACTTCTAAATTGTTGAAGTCCTTTGGAGTGGCTTTGCAAACATTACATGCCTGGGAGCTTGCTGTGTTCGTCAGAATGTTTACGGTTTTACCATCCAGCATCGTACATATAAGGAGATGTTTAAATTTAATTTCCCTATTCCCTAAGATATGCAATGTTGGTCCCATTTTTGAAATTTGACTTTCGATGGCACTGTAGATTTCCTTAACATTGGAGGTATTTTCCTTTTGTATTTTAAGACGGTGTCGGATTCTTCCAATATATCTTCTGGCCTTGAGACATCTGCAGTGGTACAATTGTACATAGGATAATATTAGAGTCCGCGTACTCTGTGTTATTTGAAAAATTTTGTTTATATATACAATGTCCACCGCTGCCATCTAAGCCCCATTTATAATGGATGTCGATGGTATCACAATTATCTGTGATGTTTTCCAAAATTACATCAGACTGTACTTCTGCCAATCGTTCTGAAGTATGAACAAGAAGATCAAGCAATGGCACTTTAGCTTCGTTTTCAGTGATAACGACATTGGCGGGATAGCATTTTTTTTTTGCTTTTCCAATTTAATGATAAGAGGGATAAATATCTGCCCCTCTTTCTTTTGCTCCAAGTCTCATAGTAATGTAGTCTTCTTTTGTTAATCCAAGATCTACTATAAGACCCAGAGCTTCTTCAGGGAGCTGGTGCGTCATGTACCTCTTTCTTTTTTTTCAATTTTCTTGGCGATGTTTCGGTGGCCAATTTTATAACTTGTGCAACATTTCTCTGGCCTGACTTTACCAAACTTGTTTCTGCTGCCAAGCATAGTTGTTCTGAGCTGTAATCTAAAACAATAGGTTGCACATCTCTCTGTCTACTCCGCTGTGACTTTTCCTCAAATGATTTTGAAGGTCTGCCTCGCGATACAGGTGACTGGAATGACTCAATTTCTGGGAAACTTAGTTCATGGTTAAGCCAATTCTTATTTGTGTTGATAAAACGTTTGTAAGAGTGAAAACTTTCACGCCATTTTTTCAATAATTTCGACACAAACACTTTCACTACATCCTTTATCTGGGCTATATATTGCTCAGGAAGTACACCAGCACCAATTTTTTCCACTATATACTGCGTTATAAGAATATTACATTTCAATGTCGACATCTTAAAAAAATTTATGTTTCTTAAGACTAAGAATAGCACTTCTCTCTTGATGTTCATGTTTATAAGACTTAATCAAACGCTAATCCAATGATAAAGTTTAATTGCAATAATGTGGCATAGTTTATATTATAATTAAGGTAAATTTAGGTATTATTTAAAAACATTTTAATACCATTAAATACCGATAGATACAGGTAAACAGTTTATTAATATACATACTTGTAAATACAGGTAAATTATCTTATTTATAATAATTACCTTACTAATTAATTATAATTAACAACAATTACTTTCAGGTAATGCAGATTAAGAAAAGATTAAGAAAACTTATGATCTAATATTTTATAATTGGTTCATTACATATTTACAAAGTATAATGTTTTTTTGTATGGCTAGCTTTTTTAACACGTTCACTGTGACTTACTTGATAAAAAAATCTCTAAAACCTATGGCTGGACTCGGCTGGAACTAAAATTTACATGCTCATATTGGTAATAAGATACGCTATATGGTAGCCAAAAATGTAGGCGAAACTCTGCGGAACTTTTTTTAAAACTCTATCTAAAGTTATAATTTTAATTTTTTTTTCGTAAAAATTCTGTTTCATAAAATATATATTCTTACTTTTCCATGTATAATTTGTTTAATAACAATAATTACATATAAAAGTATATGCCATAAGCTTCCAAACACAACTAAAAAAACTTTTGATTTTACATTTAGAGTCATAGGACAAGCATTCTAATTCTAATTTAATTTTACGCGCGAGTACTTCATAGTAGTGCGAATAAAAGGTCAACTTTGGGGTGGTGCTGAGTCTTTTGTATACAATATATATATAAAAAAAATACGTTTTATTGTGGACTGGTCTATTGACAACGTGTTAATGATGTTTCTGACTAATTTTTTTAAAGTTCATTTTTCTTTTTTTTTGGCGCGCTAATGTGGACGTTCGTCCTTATGTGCGCCACCTGGAAAGAAAATTAATGGAAACTTTTGACAAAAAAATTAAGATTATTTACGCTGAAAAGAGAGTTTCTTGCTCCATTTTCCGCTACTCTTTTAACCTATAAGGATTTATTTAAAACGTTCGGTCAGTTGCAACGCAACAGCGAGAAGCAATACTTAACTCACCCAGAAGAAATTTGCCTGAAAATTGTACGGCTGAAGATTTGATGATGGGAGAGTGCGATAATGTGCCCGAGCTTCTCACTTGTTTTTTGGAATCACTCATTTGGGGTTATATGTCTCATATATCCAAAAAGAAACGTGAAAGTAGAAAAAATAAAAATGAACTTTATATTTTTTCCATTGGTAAAGATCTGATCTACGCAGCTTCTGGCCACAAAATTAAAACATCTAAGCACATTACCCTAGGTCTGACAGTGAAGAGCTTATGCAACAGTAAGAAAGTTGTTAACATATTGTCAAAATATGGGCACTGTTGTTCTTACACAACTCTAGAAGAGCTAGAAACTGAGCTGACATTTTCAACGGTAAATAGCGGCTACGTATGCCCTGAAGATATTCTACGTCGCCCGGACTTGAATACTGGTGTTGCATTCGACAATTTAGACCGTTTCGTGGAAACCATGAACGGCAAAGATACTCTGGATGATACAGTGGGATTATTTACCAGGATATCGTACAAAATCCGGATTTGGTGTCTGGAATCTTGTAGACCTTGTGTACATGAAAATTCAATAACCGATGAGATCGCGCGTGGTAGTTTTCCAGAATTATCCGTCACCACTAGAAAAACAAAATCCCGAAAACGCAGGGCTTTTGAAGAAGTTAATTATGAAATACATCCATTTACCAAGAAATTAAAAATTACCAACTGGAGTCAGCTAAAATAAATAAATATACGCGCAAATAAATAGACTCTTGTACAGTGGTGATATATAAATAATTAGTAGATAAGTGTTTAGTTACTTTTATAGTTTCTTGGTGTTTTAAGTGTAATTTAGTTATAAAATAAATAGTTTAGTTCGTTAATAAACCAGTGCGTGTTTTAATTCGCACTACGAACAGTTACAATATCTTTTTTATCATCATTTTAATTACTTACATTACTCCATACATTTTTCCTGTAACAGGTGGTCTTGAGGTGTTTATGTCTTGTCCATGCTGTTTACCATTGTCAATAAATCGACCCAAACCCAACCCACCACCACCACCTGCAATGGCAAGGGGCATTTTATGGCTGTTTCGATTTTTCTGGAAGAAAATTAATTGTTTGATACTTTTTTAGCATCTCAGAGCTTAATAAAGCTCCAGACACTTTAAGTGTGTCAAAACAGATAGACGTTACGTCGATGTTATTACATATGTATGAAAAATCCGATGTGCCAATGTGGGTCGGATTTCACAACAAGATTCTAACAGATGATTCGCGAGTTCAAAAAATTTCATACCTTACTCCCATAAATAAATCTCCGACCAACAATTCAACTGTCTTGAAAACTCTAGAATTAAGTCAGGAGATTGCATATGAATGTCAAGCACCCTATATACAGATAACCTATGATTTAGTTATTGCTCGCACTAGTTATTGCATTCAAGCTCAAGAATCTCCTAGATTTGACAATATTTTTATTCATTTGAGGGCCTTCCATATTGAAATGGCTTTCTTCAAGGCAATTGGCAGTTTCATTGGAGATTGTGGACTGAGCAATATCATGTCTGAATGTGAACTGATCGCTAATGGCTCAGTTTCAGGTTTTATTAGTGGAAAAAATTACAACAGATGTAAACGGCTACATTCTCTCGTGTCATTGGCATTGGAACAATTACATTTCGAGGCATTTTTGGAGAACAAGCAATTGACGGTCGGGGAATCAGTGTTAGAATATCTTACCACATTTTTGAGTCACAAAGATGTCTCTCCCCAAGTTCAGCATGCGGAAACACAACGTCTCATTCAAGCTTATGAGGAATACACTGAAGACACATTAGACGGTAAGCACGGAAAAACAGCGCAATTTTACGCAATGTACATCGATTTTGTAAATCTTTACCACTTATTTATTAAAAGTATTAGAGTTGGAGATTTAGATTTGTACTTATACACCATTGCGAAGATCGTCTGCTTATTTTTCTACTACAATCAACCCAACTATAGTCGATGGCTAGTGTGTTACATTAATTTACTGCACCACGTAGATAACACTCATCCAGGCCTCCGAACTGAAATGACCAAGGGTTCGTTTGGAATCAGAAGAACCACGAAGCCTTTCTCACGAATTCCTGTAGACTTAACATTAGAGCAGACGATCAATGGTGATGCTGCTCGTCGTCTTACTGGAATAGTTAATCTTACAAATTTAATTGCTGCTAGACAACGTTGGGCCAAGAATCATGGGGCTCGAACAAGAATCATATCTCATGTACTTGCTCGTGCAAGACTTGACAAAAACTACCATGATGTTGCTGCGGATCTACACCCATACAGAATGAAAAAACAACACATTCAATGAAAATCTTTTTCGAACAGTGTTCTGCAGAGCATTAATCCATTCTCTCCTTCAATCGACAAGGATCAGTTGTCAACAGGGTAAGCTGCCCCTTTAGAAATTACGAACTGTTTACTGAAGACAGTGTCTGGTGGTACATTTCTACGAGATCAATTTATAATGGAATGTAATTTAAATTTTGACAGGTTTCACCAGCCAATAAAAAAAATACTGTGCAGACTTTTGCAAGCTTAAAGAAGAAGAAAAAAATGACAATTGGTGGAAAAGTACACGAAGTAAAATTACAACGAGATTTATTTGGTCGATTGTTAGCTCTATCTCTTGACACGAGTATAGACTTGGAGAAATTTCTTTGTTTTCCCATAACTCCTATGCCGTTATCACTGTGCCATATAGATGTCTCGATAAATAAGACTAATAAGTCGGTACTCGTTCATGAGCTAGAAAAACTAGTCGAAGATATAGAGCAACCGCCATCCCAAATTGATCTTGCAATTGTTGATGGCTTCTTTTTTTTGAATACCTTCAAAGAAATGCCTCGTACTTTTGGAGGTGTGCCAAAGAGAATATTGCAGTGCCTAATTAATAACACAGCAAGTAGAATTGCCATTGTATTTGACCGCTACTTCACACCCTCAATCAAAGATTACGAGCATTCTATTAGAGGCAACGTAGACGACAAGGAATTTCATATCACCGGCCCTCAACAAATGAGAACAGCAGATTTTACAAAAGATTTAAAAAATCTAAATTTTAAGCAAGCTATTGTTAAGTTTTTCATCGATCATTGGGCTGATCAGGAGATGGCAGCGATTATCGGTAGTAAGGTTATTTACATAATACATGATTTGTGTTATGAATATTCTGTTATCGATAATAAAGTAACGCGCATCATTAATTATGAGTTGTCTTGCCCTGACCACGAAGAAGCGGATACAAAGATAGCATTTCTTGCTTGCCAACAAAAAGAAAATTCTACTGTTACTATCAGAACATCGGATACTGATATTTTGGTGATCATGTTGGCAAATATGGAACACCTGCAAGCAACAGTAGAAATCTGGATCCGCTCTCTACAATAAACTTGGCCCAAAAATTTCAAAGGCACTTCCAGGTTTGCATGCATTCACTGGTTGTGATTTTAACCCAGAATTGTACTGACGAGGGAAAAAGAAACCTTTACAGTTTCTGATGACTTCTGAAACTTTTCAAAATGCATTTCTGGAAGGAGCACAATGTGCAGGATTCGTTTCACATTATAGTCTTTTACTTGCCACCTGTACGGGTTAAAGAAGTTAAGCGACGTAAATCAAGCCAGAATGGTTATCTTCAATAAGACGTACAAGGTAAAAGACAAGTCTCAACCCTTCTCCTTGATCCGAAATTACGATGCGTGCAACTTGCCACCGTGTCAATCGGAGTTATTCCAACAAGTGTTACGCACAAGATACATCGCATGCTTGTGGATAAAGCAAAAATTATTGATCTTTTACTATGGGTGGAGAGTTGTCAACGAAAAATACCAAATGATCTGGTTTGCGGGTGATCAATTGCCAAAAGCGTATGAAGATGTAGTCGTAACACCAGATATTTTTGAGGATACTCCAGAATTAGGTATATTTTTTCGGCAATGATTGAAGAAATCGTTATTCATGAAGAAAAATTTCGTTTAATACTCTCATAATTTTTTGTTACAGATACAGAATCTGAGGATGAAATTGAGCCAGAAGAGGAAGATGATTCTACCGACGAAGATGATGATTGAAAAAAAAATTCTCAAAAAAATTTATATTTTTCATACTTATTTTCTCATAAATAAGAGTTTTGTACTTCAAAGAATATATACTGTTTTATTTGCATGCTATTTTTTCAGCTCTTTAATTTGTTAACTTAAAAGATTTGAAAAAATACAAAAAAAAATTCTTTCCATTGTCAGATTAGGCGAATCCCTCCAGATAATCGTCAGATTATGAGACAGCACGTTTAGGGTATATAAATGAACCATATATATCTTAATCTGACGCGCTCGAGTATTTCAAAATGGCGATTTTTTTTGCACATTCTAACAATGGTCGCGAGTTTGGGTCACATCCAAATCGTCAGATTATTACATAAGAGCCTTCTTTTAGGTTCACTTAACATCCCCTTTGAAAATCTGACGCGCTCGATTAAATTTTTTTTTCCGTTTTCAACCCTTACGTACGACCACCCCCATCATGGAAACAATCAGATTAACATACGTATGTTTTCAAAAATACGTAGGACATGGATGCTATTAATATCTGACGCGCTCGAGTATGTCCATGCAACTGTTTTTTTCACATTTTTGAAAATTTATAGCCGCTTCCCCCACCGATGAAAGTGTATATATTATATGACATTTTTTTCTTTTTATCATCTAAGCTTCGCAATCCAATAGGTCTCTTTGACGCTCGAGTAAATCCCAATTTAGCACCCTGGGCTCCCCTACTACAAGTTTTTAAATTTGCTGAGCGCAAATGAATAACCCACAAATTCAATTCTAAACGTGAACTTGCTGGCCGAGGATGGTTCAAATTATTTATGAGAAGGCACCCAGAATTAGCAAAAACAAATCCCAGAGCATGAACCGTGCGCGGGAGCAAAAGCTAAATAAGTTTATTGTTGGATACTATTTTAAAAAGTTGGGGGAAATTTTGGACTCATTAGACTTCAAAAACAAACCTGAATGGATGAGACAGGGTGCAGGCTGACAATTCACAAACAGCAAAAAGTGTTGGCCCTCAAAGGTACCAAACGCTTACATCTTGTTGCACTGAACATGCTGAGAGTGTCACCGTAGTGGGATGTGTTTCGGCAAGTGGAAATGTAATACCACCAATGATAATCTTTAAAGGTGTCCGTTTAAAACCAGAATTTGAAGACAATTTGCCAGCAGGAACACTCGTTAAAATGGTCCCTAAGGGATGTATGACCACTGAACTCTTCGTGCAGTTTATTAAACATTTATCAAAATTTAAAGTCGCAGGACCAATTCTTCTGGTATTCGATGGAGCTGCCTGCCATCTTGATTACACAATCGTCGAAGAAGCTGATAAACACGATATAACACTGTTATGTCTTCCTAGCAATACGACCCATGAACTTCAACCACTTGATAAATCTGAATACAGATCCTTTGAGGCACACTGGGATCAAGAGGTTCTCAAATTTTGGACAACCCATCCAGACAGAAGGATTACTAAATCAAGGTTTAATTTAATATTCGCCAATGTTTGGTCTAAATGCAAATTGTTATTGAGTTGCCATTTTGACAATTATGACAATAGGCTTATGCGTTTGTTTTAACAACAACATATATTTATTTCGTACCGTTGTTGCTGGAACAAAGTATTATAATATATTTAAAAAAAATCCTCAATACAGTGAAACTTTTTTCTTCTACAGGCTTAACCCTCAATGACTTGTTAGCAGAATTAGAGGATAATCATGCTCGACCATCAAATAGCAAAGTGCTTAATATTGTAATTTTACCTCCAACGAACTCAAATGAAGATCTCACGGATGAAGATTCAGGAGATGAACAAGATGTTGCCACCTGCCTCTCAGCTATTAGCTAAAGCAGAAATTTTGTATTCTGAAACAGAAGTGAGGCTAGAAAATAAAATAGAAGAGGAGCTAGAAAATAATGTAATAGATAAGGATTCATGGGATGGGAGCGATATCTTGCCGTTATCGCACCATACAAAGTCTAGGCCAAAAAAATTATGATCATATAAGTGGCAAAAAACAAAAGATTTAAGTCCAAAAAAATTTGTTGAACCATGGAGCTCCGTTCTTACAATTGCAAATGACAGTTCGCCACCAGAATTGTTTTCAAAATTTGTTGGTTCAATATACTGCAACAAGAAACAGGAAAGCTGATATAAGTACTGAGGAAATGAAATGTTTTTTGGGTTTACTACTAGTAAGTGGTTATTGCACATAAGTAGAAGAAGAATGTTTTGGGAAAATTCTAATGACTCAAATAACAGTCTAATTTCTAATGCTATGAGCAGAGATCGTTTTGAACATATCATGACATCCACTGTTGCGATAATAATGACATAAATAAAAATGATCGCGTTGTCAAATTAAGACCTTTGTTTGATAAGATGAATAATAACTGTTTGGAAAATGCCCCTCACGTTGAGCAGCATAGTATTGACGAAGCCATGGTTCCTTATTTTGGAAGGCAACCCGGCAAACAATTTATAAAAGGAAAACCCGTGCGTTATGGGTACAAACTTTGGGTCGGTACCACATTTTATGGATACATTGTCTGGTTTGATCCATATCAGGGAGCAAAAACTGAAATGGAAAACTACAAAGAGTTTGGATTAGGAGCCTCCGTAATTTTAAACTATGCGGATTTGATTTGTTCAAAATTAAAGGCAGACTATCACTTATTCTTTGACAACTTTTCTCCAGCGTCTCCCTCATAGAAGAGCTTGGCAATAAACATATCAAAGCCACTTCGAGAAAATAGAAGAGCAAAGTGCCCTTTACCTTCTAATAAACTATTCAAAACAACAGCAAGGGGGCATTATGATTTTAGAACAACTAATAACCGTTCTATAATTATTTCTAATTGGAACGACAATATTATTGTTAACGTAATTTCCAATTCTGTGGGAATAAAACCGCTTTGTCTATTGTATTGTATGGTATTTTCCAATGAGTGTACATGTTCTCGACTTAGCTGTTCAGAATGCCTGATTGCTACACAAAAAAACTGAAAATGGAAAACTTGATCATCTGAAAATCACTTCTTGAAACTAATTCATCCGAAAGGAGCCGCAAAAGATTTGGCCGTCTTTATTTCAAAATACAGATTCCCGATTCGACAGAATGGATCTTGTGAGCACGCAAGATAAACCAACACGTTGCAGAGTGTGCCATAAAGCAGTAACAATAATTTCCGTCAAATGCAAAGTAGCATTACATCTAAGTTGATTTGTGGATTACCACACACCGTATTATTTTTTTACACATTCTTGTTCATTTCTTTTAAAATAAATAAAATATTTTTAGTTTTCTTTATATTTTTTATTTTGTTATACCCAAGTGCCTATTGTGCGTTTAAACGAACACCCATTATCAGGTACAAACATGTATTAAAACTAAACAATGTTGATCGTAAAGCAAAAACAATGTATTTTGCTTCAACCTTTCAAAAATGTATCAAAAAAATTGAGAAAAAAAGTTTCAGGCATATCTGGGTTAATAAAAAATTGCATTTAATTTCTATGTACTTTTGGAAATTAAGGCTTCTAAAATGGACTGATTCATCTTTCTATGTTTAATTACGAAGATCTGCAATCGCTACACTAAAAGATCAATTTCTAAGAATTCATTGTGAAACAAATTTGGGTTTCTAAAGTTTGAGTTTATTTTCTTTGATTTTGCGAAGGTACCTCAAATGGTATGAATTTCCAACAAATACACAAACATATTAGTGTACTAGGATAAACCTAATATTAGAAAACATTTTTAAGCATTATAAGCTTTGTGTAATGCATTATAAGTGTTATTATAAGCGTCCCTCGAAACATTGTTATTATGCTTTTACTAGTTTTTGTGACAATCCTAGTCAGTTCGGAATACGAATCTAGGAACTACATTTACACGTATCGGGTCACTTAACAAATATATTTTTGGTTATTTCACTGAAGGTGGCGACAAACAGGTATTAATATAAGCCCTGACAAAAATAAAAGTGAAGTATTAAATAACTGTAGTGAAATAAAATATACAGTTTGATTTAATAATATTGTTACTAATATTGACTAGTGACTATCGACAATTATACATTTATGTCAATACAACAATATTATTATTAACTAACTTATTATTATTATATAATACTAACGTACAGGTTTTTATTAAACCGATATCTTAAAAATTGGGTTACATATACAAAATTACAAAATAACCAAAAAACAGAAAATGTGGCTTGGCAAATAAAACGAATAAAATAGTATTTTAAATATAAACACAAATTTTAGTACATTATGGTCAACCTAAAATATTGGAAATTAATTGATTATCATTTCTATTATTTAAAAATTATTAAAAATAAGTTGTTGGAAATGTGTCTTTAAAGTGAACAGCCCTGGATTAAGGTGGAAGCTTTGGGGGCTATAGCCTTAGACCCCGCCATTCAAAGGGGCCTCCGACACCTTAGTATTTAAAATAATAAACATTATACATGTATTTTATTAAGGTCTACATAAAATTAAAAAAAAACAAAATATTTTTTATTAAAAACATCCAGAAATATAATTTATGTTTTGTAGGCGTCCGACAGTAGTCGATCAGTACTGCCGTGATAATCACAGAGGCAGTAACTGCAATATTTAGTAATAAAGGACAAAAGTAATTTTGTATTGTTTTTAACAGTACAAATTATTGTTTTTCTTTATTACTTAATATTGCAGTTACCGCCTCTGTGTTTAGCACGGCAGGGTACTTATCAAAAGATGATTTATGTTTTGTTAGTTTTTAAGCGTATAGTTAATTGGTATACCATTGACTAAGGAATTCTTCACTCAACGGGTATACGTTCAAAAACTAACAAAACATACTAAAATACCTATTTTTATTTATAAAAAAAAATTAAAAAGAAATGTTGATTGATAAGCAATAAAGTAAACATTTCATTTTTCTTTGTATAAAGAACTTTGAAGGCCCCTAAATTGTTTAGCCCCTGGCTCTATTTTGCCTTAATCCGGCCCTGTAAGTAAA